GCCTTGTTCTCCAGGTCAGTGTCTCAAAAACTCAAAATCTTAGTTTTTAATCTAAGTCTGTGTTTTTTTTTTTTTTTCCAACAGGCATCACAACCGTTCTCACCATGACTACCCTGATGGTAAGCGCTCGCTCCTCCTTGCCTCGGGCGTCAGCCATCAAGGCACTGGACGTCTACTTCTGGATCTGCTACGTGTTTGTGTTTGCGGCCCTCATTGAATACGCCTTCGCTCACTACAACGCTGACTACCGGCTCAAAGAGAAGGCCAAGGTGAAGGCAAACAAGCTCAGCTCCGAGGTAAGGAAACGCTCTCGTCATGTTGTCCCATCAGAGGAAGATAACAATGCCTGCTTTCGGAGGGTTTTGACAGTAATGAGCTTGTCTTTCAAACACAGACTGGGGCGGGCGGCTAACCTCGCCGCTGACAAGCATCCATCCCACTGACCTTCAGCAAGACAAGGGGTCTCTGTAGAACAGAATCGGAAAATAGATGATTTCCCTACAGAGATTAGCAGCGATTCTCATCTTACTGTCAGCTTCTTTTGTCATAGATGACTTACAGTACTTACAGAATAGCAAACACCCACTTTGTGGAAATTCCTTATGAATACAGATTACTTGTATTTGAGATGAGAGGACCAAATTAAACAGTGTGACGCGCTCGCTTATTGTCTCGTCATCAAAACCGAGCTAATCGATGGGAGAGGCGGCGATAATTAACCATTAGACTGAGCCAATTTAAAGCAGAGGACTATTTATCATAAATAGGAAGAAATGTTAAACAATTATTAAGGACCACATGTGTTCATTACAAATTTTGTAAAAAAAAAAAAAAAATCAACAAAAACTAGAAGAAAAACAACCTAATAGTTATAGAGACTGAGTCTTTGGATTCATGTGTTGATTTTTGCCATTTTTCTTTAATTCAGGTCAATTATTTCTGTTAATAGGGTGCACTGTAGTGTAGATCTTGCTTTAATATTGTCAATTAACAGACACCCAGAGACAAACAGCTGAAACTGTGCTGGTAATGTTCGTAGAATATAGGAAATGCAATGTTTGACCCCCTATCTATGCATAGGTAGTATTTCCTTTTAGTACCAAGAAAACTTACAGTGCTGTGAAAAGTCCCCCAGCACCTTCTGACAGATTACATCTGCTCTCTTTCAGACAATCAAACACATTTTAGTATCAGACGACAACAACAACAACCCCAGGACGAATACGTTTTTCAATTAATGATTCCTGGTTTTAAGAAAACGTGGAAAACGTCCGCTTCCGGCTTCTGCAATTTCAGGATTTTGTCAAACGGGGAAGTTTTACTTTGCATGTAAAATATCAGTACAGCACATTTTGTGTTGCCCATTGGAATCTATAAAATGTATCGGTGAAGAAGAGTAGCAGCAGAGTTGAGTCAACCTGTAAATGAAGGTCATGGAGGTGAAACTTTTTCCTTTTGCCTGATTTTAAAAAACACACTTGTTTCCGAAACAACCTCCCCCTCCCCCTCTCCCCCTCCCCCTTCCCTTTCTCTTTACAGTCGATAGTAAAGAATGGCAAGCAGGCGATGGTTCTGTTTTCCCTCTCGGTTACCGGGATGAATCAGGGAGTTGTCATTTCCAACCGCCAGGGCCGAACGCAGCGCTCCGGCAGCGAAATCCCCGGGGAGGGCGCCACGGAGGAGCCGGCGCCGAGCAGGAGGCGATCGAGGCCGGCGGAGGAGAGCAAGGAGGACAAAAAGTGTTGCTCCAAGTGCGTCTGCAAGCCCATTGACGCAGACACCATCGACATCTACGCCAGGGCGGTGTTCCCTTTCACTTTTGCCGTGGTGAACGTGATCTACTGGGTGGCGTACACGATGTGAGGAGGTGGCGGAATGTCGGGGAGGCCTGCCATCGGAAGCTGTACATAGGAAATCTGCTGGAGTCGTGACATTAAAATGCTGGCAGACTGTGCAGCTGACGTCCACCGCAGAGGCTTCGGCAAGGAAGAAACTTCAAATGAACGGAAGTGCACACTGTAAGAGCCTGTGAATATAGAAATATGGTACTTAGTGGGGAGTAGTTAAGAGTTGAAACTGCTAGAAGGACACACACAAAAAAATGCTTCATTACAAAGACAGCTAAGGAAGGTTTAAAGGCACGTTACTTAGTTGCCCGTTGGAGGCTCACGTACATATTAAGATTTGCATCCTGCTAGATGAACGCCACTAAATACCATGAGTTCTCCTCAAAACAGTCACAGTTCCTCCTGTCCCTCTCTCATGAGCCGTCTGCTGTCTCAACAACCGAAACACCTCTCAGGCAAGAGGACGACAAGATGAGGTGCACTGCTATTCTGCATGGCTGATAACTCATCCCCAGCCCCCACTCCACTCTTTCTTTTTCTATATCCCCTGTACCTCCACCCATTTCTTTTTTAGTTCATTTCCACATTTAGGACACAGTCTGGAGTGTCTTATCTCCTCTTGCCAGTTCTGCCTGTTTCCTTGTTATTAAAGGACTTCCACCGCTACCACGTGCATTCGTCTCAATCGCTCCTCGCTACAGATAATCACATGGATGTTAAAGGAATTGTTGTCGGATGTGATTTGAGAAACGAATTAAAATCACTCCTGGTAGATATACACTTGCACAGCTCAAAAAAAAAAAAAAGGTACTTGTTTGGGATTATAAATAAATCACTTTTAGATGAGTACAGGTCTTTCCATTGAGGGAACTGGGAAATTGATTTGAGGAAGTTCTTGGATGAGAAAGCACCACTTGTCTTAGGCCAATTGCGACATTTTTTTGAAAGCCATAAGCTGAGCACAGTAATTTTCATGAATACTGAGTAACTTACAGCTGGAGTGCTGAAACAGCTTAAAAAAAACATTATGAATCAAAACAAAAATAAACAATTTAATGTCATAGTGTTTTGGGTGTTGGGAGAAAAATTGGTGAAGTCTCTTCAGCAATGTCTCTTCATTACCCTGGATTGGAAAAGCCAATCCAGTGTCTCTTTTAACATAAATGTCAATGGAAAAAATTCCAGACTTGTTAGATCATTAATGTAGTATGCCCAAAACAGGTGGTATAAAAAACAAAAAAGAAAAAGTTGCAGCTCAAGTTGTGGCTGGTTAAGTGGCATGATGACATAAAAATCACAGAATGTAAAATAGCTAGGAGTATTAGGAGTAACTTAGCTTCTGATCATTTCAGGACACCGATCTAGCCAGATAATCCCTAAAGAGCACGTTTCTAGAAGTAAAAGATTCATTTAATTCATTTATCACCGGGCTTGAAACAACAACCACAATGACAAAAAGCATTTTTATCTTCTCAATGCCTCCTACAAGTGACGAACACTCCTACCAAAGAGAAACACTGCTGAGCTGGAATTAAATAAATGGCAAAAAAACTAAAAATTATCTGGGTTCATTTTGGTCTATGTTGTTTTGGGTGCTTTTAAAAGCCTCTCGAAGGCAAAAACACTATTTTTTTTTTTTTTTTTTTTTGTCATTCAATGTTACACATCCAAAAATTTCACTTCTTTTTACTCTGGCAGACTTCTCAGGATCTTTCTTCAAATGCAACAGCTACAACATTTCCACACATGACTTCGGTGATTACACGGGGAAAACCATCTCCACATCTTTTCCCTCTTGTGGTCCCATATTCCCGTGTGCACAGACCGAGGCAGTTATCAGGCCAAGCAGTGTGGCGGCGGATCAGGGCGGGTGGGAGAAGAGCGGGTGGGGCGGGACGCTGTCTGAACAGGAGTCCGACAGACTGGGTTCTCCCAAGCTGATAACTTTGTTCTGGGCCAGTTCAGATGACATCATGACGGATGGTAATGAAGATGTTGGCGCCGGGGGCAGGAAGTCTTATCTCCTACGACGGCACCATGATGTTGGGAGGGCTGGTTGGATGGAGGTTAAGATGGCCGAGCACACCCTTGTAGTTCACGCTACAGCACACTGATGCTTCACTTCGGTTGACTTGAATGGCAGTCACTCCCCACTTCGCTGTCAAACACACACACACACACACACACACACACACACACACACGCACACACACACACAGATCTGACATGATGTCTCCTCCTGAAGCTGGAAGAGGTGGCGGTCATATTAAAGGCCGAGCCAGCCAGACAGAGGCCTGGTCACTGTGTGTGACTATCATTTCTTAGCACTACAGAGAATCTGTGAATGTGCAGAAATCCACCGTGGACGCTTATCAACCAGACGTCTGACTTCAGGTTTGTGCTGCATGCAAATCCAGAGTCTCACTTGTTTAATCAGTTTAGCAGAAATAACTTTTAGCTAGCATAAAAAAAACAAAATAACAAAACAAAATGCATGTTCACTTCAAACTCATGTTCCATTCAGTAAGAAATTTGCCTTATTTTATTGTTTTGCTCTTTTACTTTTCTCTGGTGCATTTCAAGAAGGATATATGTTCCTACGCAGCGAAGTTTGTGAGTTACATGGTTTGTGGAAACTCCATTTGGTGCATACTTGTGTTAAGGATTCTTAGGGGCTTTTTTTCCCCTTTTTTCACTACATAAAAAGTAGAAAGAATCTACTTGGACTATAGTTTATCCATATTCCATAGTTATCCTTACTTCTAACGACTTCTAGAAGTAAGGATAATTCAGGTGGTGGTTAAAATTTAAGCTTATATTATCCATTGTCACTGATTTTTTTAAATGTAATCATATGACTTAATATTCTATGACTGCTAAGAAAGGGCAAAAAATATACCAGTTCCACCTAGTTAAAAATACAATTAGTGTTTGGTATATTTTAGATGCATTTAACTTTTTGCAAATGATTTGGAATTAAACAGATGCTAGCAACTAAATAAAGTATATATTGTATAATTAATAAAATAATACTAGTATAATTGTTCCAAAATAGTAAACCTGAATAAGTATGATGTGCAAAAATTGTTTTAACTACATTGCATGTATAAATATGTAAATAAATTACATGTTATCTGCATTTTTCACAAAAAAAAGTAATGACGCAGCATAACAAAGAATACATTCAGTTTTTTTATTTTTATTTTTAGAGCACTCCTGGTTCACTGGAAGTGTCCCAGTGTCTACGTTTAAGGACTACAAGTCTATTTTCTTTCCCTCTCTCCTTGTTTCCCAGAAACAAATGGGACATCTTAAGGGTAGGGAACAAGATAAGGTGCAAGGGGATTTCTCTTTTATAAGGTGCCTCTATAGTGCTGTTGGCTTTTAAAAACACTCTTAAGAGTGCACACCATGTTCTCAAACACAACAATTAGTAAAGTGGGGGCAAAATAAGGGACAAGGACAGCTTGATGCCAACGGTAAAATGCCAACCTCTCCAATGATGGACTGTGTTTCTTTATCTTGAGCTCAAAAACGGGAGAAGCGTTAAAGGACAAGCTATAAAAATGGTTTAGATTAAGAAAATACATTAAATAAATAAATCGCCAACAAGAATCACTTTACACTCTTTGATTTTCTTACAGGATTTTTCACTTCATTGATGATGATGTACAGTCAGTCAGTTATCGGCCAAACTGTAGACGATATGTCAGCTTTCAGTGATGTGTTTGATGAAGGGCACGCTGCGACTTGAATCAAACCAGGCTATGTTAACATCGTGAGAAGATGACATCAAGGACGTCGCCTTTTTGGCACAGTTTCCAAGTCAATAAATCGTAAGACCCGGGGAAAGCCTCCCGAGTCGTTTCATATTGACTGCAGATCAGTTTGTTTAACTCCTGATTACTAATCACATCTCGCTCAGAGTCAACCCCCAATGATCTAGGGCTCTTATCCTGACAGCTACGGCTATTTGTACGCTGATGCATCATCCAGTTACAAATAATGAAAGCTGAACTGGGGTTTGGACTGAAATGCTCTTGAGTCCTTGTGTTTGTTTGAGGCCGTCACTTTTTCAGTATGCAGCCTGGGCTTTACAGTATTTCTTGAATTTATGGGAAATGTATTCACACTATTCTTAACCCCATAAAACACACTGACATGTTGACAGTGTGCCTTTGACAAGCATATTTTGTTAGATTCTGATGTTTATTCATGAAAATGATGATTAAGTAAAGTTTCTTTTTTTATTTTTATTTTTTTACCAAAATGTCAAAGATACTTCAACATTCATTAGCTTTGAAAACTGTGTGTTTAAGCCATGCTATATATCATCCCATGGTCAAAACAAGGTTGAGTAAACTAATGACATGCATTGGCAACTAAACACGTACAAAACTTTAAGTGTGTATTTTGATTTTTATGGCTTCTAAACAAATTATAATTGAAAATAATCATATTTTACAGCGGATGTTTGTGCAGGGATTCCTTGCTGCACCATGTGTCGCCTCTTGAACATCTTCCTGGCTCTGCTGAGTCGCTTCCTGTTCGCCGCCCATGGAGTTGTTACGGTGTGGCAAGTGGTGACCGTCAAAGGGGAGCCCATGTACTGGCTGCTGTTTTCAGGTGTGGCTCTGCTGGGTGTGGAAATGGCCCTCACCCTCAAATGCACCCGCAATGCAGAGTGGAAATGGTAATGTTTCAGTAAAATACAACGTCACAATTACATCAAGGAACAGTGCTGGTGTCAGAATCAGAAGGTGTGAAGCTTTAGTAAACAAGATGGTGAACAAGACCTCACATACTAGTGTTTATAGAGTCCTCCACTTTAATAGTCTGGCAACACTGAAGGAAGCCACGGTAAACAAAGCAGATCAATATCAGCTTTGGTCGAAAGAGCAGGTTCACGAGAGGCTGAAAGGTAAATATTTGTTTGGAGCCATTCCGACTCAGAAATCAGCTGTAAATGACTTATTTGCATACACTGCGGCCAAATACGCAGCTGATTCTACTAAGCAAAGACATAAACGGCAAGAGCTGAAACTAAATCACTGCTTACTGGTTATTTACAAGCCAGCATTAGCATTGCTAATTACAAAAGCAGCACTTTAAACACTCACAAGCAACTGATTCATCAGTTAGAATTAATTTTTTTTATGTGTTTTGGTGCATATTATTCATACACAGAGAAAAATGTAGAGCAATGTTTGGTGTTTAGATAATTAACTGTTGTACGACATACAAAATTAAATTATAGTTATTACAAAATAGTGACATGAAAGTCAAAGTAGAATTGCTATGCTGAGAAGTGAATAAAAAAGTAGACACACTTGTCTTGTGTTGGAAGGACAAAAGAATTACAGGAATGACAGACCTGAGTTTGCATACAGCCACAACCCTGAGAATGGCCTAAGAAGGTTATCTCCCTTTAACCAACCTAACCCTAAGTGCCATTGTTAATTCCAAGACTAAACCAGACTTGAAGGACTTCCCAAATGTGAAAGCAGACATTTTGGAACATTAACAGACGCAAACGTTTTTCTTTTTTTGAGAAAGAACTCCCTTCTCCTCGGTAGCTGTGGGATAAATTAGCAAGAAAAGAAAACAAAGTGGATTCCACAGTATCTTGTCTCTTTTAAAGGCTTGATATGAGGTTTTAGGCACAATATGTAATATGTTTTGCATGGGGCGGTAGTAAATTAAAACTTGGAACTTGTCTGTGAGCAACTCGTAATCCATCTGCTCAGAGCCACAATTAATTGCTCAAATTGTCAACCTGTTCTCAGAAGCTCGTTCCCATCTTTACTGTCTGGGAAAAGCAAACCTTGTCATTTGTTGTGTCTCTGCTCCGTCTTACACTGAGCCCAATGTTGCAGGACACGCTACTGCATCCCTGTCAGAGTCTGTCTGTGTAGTCACAGAGCAAGCCTCTCCAGCCAGCCTGAGTCATTTCTGACCCACTAGCTTTCATATATATATATATATATATATATATATAAATATATAAGAGGCTTGAGTCAACAACCTTTTAACATGAGCCTCGAATGGATACTAGCATTTAGTGTCACACCTCATTCAACGGCAGGCTATATTTCATTCAAAAGCTGTAGCTTTTAGGCACATCCAGGCTGAACATCCCCAGACACGAGCTTTCTTCAGGCCTCTGCCTGTCTCGCTGATTCCTACTTTGAAGTTCTCTCCTCATGAAGGCTTTGCTCTGTCAAGTGGGATTTGCATATATGATGAGAATAATTGCCTGTCTGAAATTTGATGCTTCTTTTGGGGGAAATAGGCACCCTTTCTTCTTTAGTGGGTGGTAGAAAGAAAAGAGCAAAAAAAAAAAAGAAAGCGTTGCTAAAAATATCGTACTATCACCTTCTTAACCCGACGTTCCTCTCCTTCGGTGTTCCTTTTTTTAGGTTCTCCCCTATGGTTTTCCTCTACCTCAGTACTGTCATCCCATCCATTTGGTTTCTGGAGCTGAGCCTATTACAGTCCAAGTTGCCCCTCAACGCTTCCTCCGGCCATGAGCCTCGTTCGCTGGCCCACATCCCCATCGCAGTGGTAAGCATCCCGTCGCTAAACTGCCCTCCCCGCCTCGCGCCCCATGTGGCCACATTAAAGCAACACCTGATAGCAGATAAGATTTAAATCTAGAAAAAAGACGGATAAACTATTAGTGGCAGAAAAAGTGTAATAGGCACGCTGAGATAACGCCTGGATATCGTGCTGCTTGAAGGCTCAGATCTCCCTTGTGGGATGGTTTTAATATGTTTTCTTTCATGTGGGATTTTTTTTTTCTCTATTCTGGGCAGGAGGACATGAAAACTTAAGCCATATTGTTTTCAAACCGAGGAAGCTTAAAAGTTACTGTGACAATGTAATTTGAAAGATCAACAGCATAAGAAGCTGATACACACTTTATTCTTCCATATTAAAAATAGAAAGGATAGATTTTGATTTAAGGATTTAAGCAAATGTTAGTTTTTTTTATTATTATTTATTGCCTTGCACCACAGACATAAATGTATTTATTGGAATCTAATATGATGCAAGACAAAAAACTGCAAAGAGAAAAACAAACATGATAAGCATCCTTCAAGACGTTAAGACATGGTCGTTCTGAGATGATCATGTATTTGTTACTGTGCAAATGATGATGAGGAGCTTAGACCAGTTGTTCTCAAATCCAGGCCAAGTGGACCGGTCTCCTGCAACTTTTAAATTTTAAATGAGGTAATTCGGCAATTAGATTCAGGTGTGTTGGACCAGGAACACACACAAAGTTGCAGGACACCTAGTCCTTGAGGCCTGGTCTTGAGGACCCCTGGGTTAAACTGTGGTATTTTTTTCCCCACAGGGCATTGAGGAACTTGAACCGGAGAACTGGGTGGCTGGACTGGAGCAGACCATGCTTATTGTCCTGGTTCTGGGGCGCTGGCTGATGCCCAAAGGGGACATGTCTCGGGACCAGCTCTCTCAGCTCCTCATGGTATATGTTGGACTGGGTGCTGATATCCTAGACATCTTTGATACTTTCAAGGAACCTGAAGTCAAAGGCAATCAGGTGGTTGTCATCGTTGGCCTTGCCCTCTTCTCTTGGGCACTCATGCAGTTTCCACTGGTTCTCACCCAGACGCCAGCCTCACAGGGTGACGTTCCTAGGAGCTGGAATAGCCTCCCTTGCTGTCGTCGACCCTCATCGTCATTACCTTCTTGCTGCTCCAACGAAATATGGAGTCTGTTGCTTACTGTGGGACTCCAAGACGCACCGTTCCTGGTTTATCGTCTATACCTCATGATAAAAGAGCAAGTCCAGAACCAGGTGATGATTTTCTTCACCTGCAAGAACATACTTATTGTCCTTTTGGAGCTTTACAGAATCTTCGTGGTGCAGTTTGAACAGCAGGTGCAGGAGTCAGTGCTGGAAAGATGCGACGCCCTGGCAACCTATTGTCAAACCCTCGGAGGCAGTGAGGTAGAGGAGGCTGAAGAAGGAAGGCGTAAACTGGGGTGTAGTGTAGAGCAGAGGCGTTGTACGGACATGGAGCTGGGACTCGAAGGAGAGGGAGATCATGGAGTGTCTACGTAATGAAAGAGCAGCGTCGCGAGACATAACTTTGAAACCCTTGGGAGACAGGAATGGGGCTCCTCTCACTTGTCAAGACGAACGCTGAATGTGTCAACCATCCCTTGCATCTCAGCCTCGTTCTGAGACAGTCTCAGCTCTCAGGAGGTTCGGGAACAAAATATAGAACACAAAAGAAGAGTCTGTCCCCACAAAGGCAGATCAGACAGGATTTCTTGCTGCTCTCTTTGATAAAACCAAAGAAAACTCTCATACAGGAAAAAAAGATGGTGTCAACACTCTGACCCAAGAGATGTTAGCTTCTCATTCACATAAAGCAGCTAGTAATGACAACACAGCAGTCCTCTGCTTTGCATTCAACTTGTTTTAGCTGCACTGGAAACAGAAAGATTTGATTAAGGTCTGTGTGAGCATTCGTGATGGTTTTCACTATCAAATAAAAAAAAAAAAATCAATATGAGAGATGAAATATTTTCAATTGTGTTTTTAATTGTTAATAAATATTTTCTAATAAAGGCATTTAAAAAAAAGCTTAATTAAAATAGCACGTGGATGTTTATTTTACTTTGCTTGCCATGAGATGGCAGTGTTGCCAAGTCAACCGAAGCACAAACACTTCTCTGGGCTGAAACATACATGATAGAGGCGTGGAAAGGGAAACATCGGATGCGTTTGAACTCCAGCATGTGTTTTGTTCTGGAATGAAAAAGCTCCTCTATACGTCTTGTCCGCAAGACAATAACCACAGAGTGTGTGAGACTCCAAATTAGAATTGAATTAGAAGCTTTTTAGTCACCGTCATGCATTTGTTTTGCAATTACTGATCAAACGTAATCAGCCTAAAGACACTTCATGATAAACGGGAGGCGAGTGAAGAGGTCTGCCTCTCCCTTCTCGGGTTATTTCCCTCCTGAGCACAATCAGCTCACCGCAGCCCGCTCTAGAACTCGCTGCATTTTCATAATGGCTGAAAAAGCACACTTGTGATTACGAGGGATTTGCTCTCACTTCCTCTCTTTTTGAAAGTCGGGAAAGGTGCTTTTGAGCGATTCCTCCACATGGCCACAAAAGCAAGAGACTCTTAAAACAGCCTATGAGGACGAGGGGAAAGGGAAACGTTTGATCCGAAGCCCAGAGTCTTAAGGTTTCAAGCTACTTCAAGGTTGGGACAAACAGCCACGGCACAGCCCCTCCTCTCAGCCCCTCAATCTGCACAATAACTCTCCTGTCAGATGGAGGCTTGGATACAGCCCTTCTGCATTTATGGATGACCCTCTTTGCTGCGCGTCTCCCGCCTCAGTGTCGAGGCAGGCGGCGGCCGGAGAGCGCCAATGGCAGCGAGTTTCAATTCAATGAGGGGTCTTTCTAAGACTGCCCCGTATCAGTGTCCATCAAATTGCTGCACTTCACCCGGCCTTCGTTGTAATGACAGGAGGTCCGGTTGCTGAAGAAAGCTGGACTCTGCTCCCTCACGTTAGAGACAAAGAAAAGAAAGAGGACAAGGATGTGTGCAGGGTTCCCACACGGTCTGGAAATGTCTTGGGATTTTCAATGCTTTCCAGGACCAGAGGAAGCAAATGCATGGAACAAACATACTAATTCAAATTAAAAAGTACCTCATTCATCCCAAAGGGAAATTAAATTGTGTTTAAATTATTTAATTAATAAGTTATGGCTGTTGGCAGGAAGGATCTCCTATAGTGGTCTGAATTACAGCTACAGGACTTAAGACACAGTGTCAGATATTTGTGTTTCAAGACTTTCTTCCTGTATTGTCTAAAAGTTATGTCCTTCTTAGGGTCATTACTTCGTTGTATCCTTTAACCCTTCCTTTGTTTCCATCTATCTTTTCTTGTATCTTTCCTATTTTGTCTTCTTCCTTCATTAAACCTTTCCTACCTTGCCTGTTTTTGTCAGTCATCCCTTAATTTCTTTTTTGTACCCAACCTTCCTCCTACATTCCTTGTGTCTTTCACTTGTTTTCTTTCTCCATCTCTCAAGGATCCATCTTCTCTTTCTTTCCTTGTGTATGCTTCATCCTTTGTTTCCTGTTGTTTACCACTGAGAGAGTAAAGACACCCTTTCAAGTGTCCTTCCTTTTCCTTTCTGCCTCTCCTTCCAAATCTTTCATTTTTTTGTGTCCTTCCTCCCGTTTATGGTTCCACATTTAAGTCCTGCCCACTGCAGAAATACCCGCCATAAATCCTAAGTTAATTTCAGCCTTTTTAAGATTTTAAAATGAACACAAAGGAACATGAACCCTTAAACATACGTTTAAGGGTCGTATTATAAGCAAAATTTTCTAAGACAATGACTCTAGGCTTCCTCTAAAGGGTTTCTTTCGAGAGCACTGCTGTGTTTCTACAGTCACCTGAATAATTAATGGGAGAGTCATCTTTTAAGAGCAATAAAAAAAAAAAGAAGAATAACAGAACGTTCCCTCTTAGCTGGCAGTTCTTCCATTCAAATAATCCTCGTAGAGCTTGGATCAGTTCACAAAGTCACTCACAGGCGCGTTGCATCACACGGGGCCACTTTGGGGCCACAGCTTCTCCCATATAGGCGCAAGAGTTTTGGGAGAATCCGACGTTCATGTGACATAACCATGTAGGCAATACAATGGGTTGATGAAAGCATGGCTTGCTTGTGAAGAGAGTCCTTTTCCTCTTCAGATTAACTGCATGCTTTAACAAGATTGTGTGGGCATGTGGGAGGATGGGGATGTCAGCTGATCCACGGGCTGCCCTACATAGATAGATAGAGAAGAAGAGAGCGTGGAAGCTCAAAGCAACTAAGGCACACAGATAAAAAAAAAAAGAAAGATGTCGGGCCTTAAAAGTCCTCCGCTGTAATTACCTGCACATCAACTCATTAAGCTCAATAAAAACCGCCGTTTATGGTTGTGATGTAATTTTCGAGTAAATCATCACGTCTCTGTGATGCATCTCTAGGTGGAGTGGCTGATCGCTTGGAACATGTCATTTAGTTGACTGCTGCTCTAAAAAGCAGGGACTCAGGTGTCACACATTAAAAGCAGACGTAGAAGTCTTGAATTCACTCATCTGGTTGTAATTTGCAGCAAAGATACTCTTTGCAAAAGAGTTGGGACTTTTTCCGCTGTCCAACACCAACACCAACTGATTATGCATCTTTTCCCAACAGTGCGGCGGATTGCGAATATTAACAAATTTAAGCTTGCTCACTTTTACATCAGCCTGATCATGAAGGAGGCTACGCTATGAATTGCACTTTGAATTGCCTTGTTGCTGAAAATGTGCTATATTAATAAAATTACCTTACCCTACCTATGAAGCTTACCAGAAATTGCATCCGCTGTAAACAACCATCCCCCCACTGGTTGGGTGGATGGTTGTTGCTGGGATGAACGTCGTCTTAGTCCGACTTTAAATACTCAGTGTTTTGGAGCGTGACCACCACCGACTGAACGGCTTCGTTCACTTCCTTGGCACTTTGCTGTATAAGACTGAGCAGGGTAAGAAAATGCATACATGCATACATGATAGTTAGAGAAAGAAAGGTAGATATAGAAATGAAGAGAGACGTATAAGTAAAGTCTACAAGAAAGGCAGAGCACATCGTAAAGTACATCTCCTTGTGAATGTTTTGTTAAATAAATAGACTCATTAAGGACATGTTCACATTCTTCAAAAACTACTAAATGTATTTCCTTTCTATTAATAGTGGCATTAATGGTTTGCATAAAAATTAATTGATTACAGCAATCAATGGTTCTACAGCGAGAAAGTAGGGATGCACTGATTGCAGTTCTCTGGCCGATCACCGATCTATAAAATGCTTGATCAGCTGATTCCAATTAGGCAGATATTTCTCTGCACTAAATAATGCAAAACGGTTGCTAACATGTGAAGAGAGTGGGGTGATTATTTTAACCACGCACTGTGCAGATGTGATCTGGTGTCAGTCACCCTCTCTGTCATGGCAGAACAAAAAGGGGACAGTGATTTCAGACCCTTGCGGATGTACGCAAGATCGGTGGATAAGATTAGTTTCAAATTTTCGGATCAATCAAAACTGAGGAAGTCATCTGATCAATCAGTGTACGCCTAAAGAAAATGATGAAAAAAATGACTGGTTTAAGTGTTGTCCATCCCTTCACATCTTCCTCTGTGAAGCTGACTCTCTCCATCTCGGTTTGCCTTTCGTCAGATGTAATATTAACACAAACTTTTCATAAAAAGTCAGAACTGCGGGGCTCCGTCAGAGTGACATTTGTTCAATCCGAGCAGGCTGTATTTCCGGTTAGAGCCAGAAACATCCTCACCACATGCCACATTTTTTCCTGCTTTGTGCGGACTGATTAGGAACGTCCAAACACAGCGAAGTGAGAACCGTCGGCCTCGATTCCTACAGATAAACCCATCAACCTGCCACCCGAACGTTGGAGCTGCAGCCGAAACGTGAAGAAACAAAAGCAAACTTCAAATGAACCCCACAACTTTCTGACAGGCAGCTGAGGATCCAGCTCGCGCCGCCTCGTGTGCCGCCATGGATGGAAACTAATGAGCTTTACTTCACTGTGTGTGTGGATCAGAGACACTGAATGACTGACTTGTTTTCTCACCGTGGAGGATTTCAAGATGGAATAGACCCCTATAGCATACGGGATCTATATGACCGACAATACATCACCCCTGAAGACAGTGTATGCCTTTGCAATACGCTGTCATTGCAAAGGCAAAGCCCTTTTTTTTTGTTGCAATTTTTTTTTAAGGATTTTCTAATAGCCTCTCATATTTTTAAGCGCTTTTCTTTGGACCATGGCTACTTTTAAGCACGTGCTAGCAAAGTATTTTTCAAAAAAGACATGAGTGGCTCAAAGTAAGGCCGTCTCTAAGGAGCTCATGAGAACAAGTTTCCCTGCTGTGTGCTGATGAAGTGAGAACAGCAAACCGGAGGAGATTCATCCCCACAGGTGAGTGGCAATTAGAGGCACAGGTTGCCATGATGTTGGTCAAAATCCAACAGGCTGGATACAAAAAAAAAAAAAAAAAAAACATCTGAAGAAACTGGACCATGCAACCAGGTCCTTCCTGTATTATTATGGTACTCACACAGTGGTTAAAAACACAATTATATGAAATGACCTGACCTGTTAACTCAAAACAGAAAAATAAATATTTTTTTTCTTCTATTTAACATATTTTTTGATGATTATTGCAAATGCGGCGTGTTATTCATGCCGTTTGTTTATTGGTTAATAATTGCAAAGTGATTAACAAACAAATTATTTTCAAATAAACTTTTTATTGTGCAGAGTTCTGTTTCTGCTCTTTGGAGACGACCAGAGAAAGCTGATTAGTTAGTCAGGCTCTTTACTCAGACATTTTGCAATCAGCGCCTTAATAGAGATGACACTCGTATCTTGCTAACTGTATCTGTAATCTTGTATCTAATATGAGGTCAATACAAACTCCACA